AAAAAAAAAATTTAAAAAAAAAAAAAAAAAAAAAAAAAAAAAAATATATATATATATATATATATAAAAGGAATTTGGTTAAAATAATATTTTATAGTTTTATTAAGTTTAAAGTTTAGATATTAAAATATTATATTATAAAAATAACTTATTCAAAAAGACCTATGCTGCACTCAAAGTACACCGTATCCCCTGAACTAAAATTATAATATTGTTTTTATTAAATACTAAAATAATTAAAATGTATGAAATTAATAAACCTTAAAATAAAATGTTGATTTAAATAAAAATATAGAGCAGTACAAAACAGCAATATAATGAGTAATAAAAATGTAATAATATTGTAATGTAAGAGATCCTGCATAAATTAGGCTTTTATACATGATTTTTAATTTTAGAATGATCATATCTGGAGTGCAACACTAAGCTAAATTTGAGTAAAATCCACATTTTTTAACCACAAACTAAAAGAAATACTTTTTCAAGACTTTAAATCAGAGCTGAGATGCACATGTCAGAAGTGTTTGTCAGATTTTCCAGCCCTCACACTCACCCAGACACATGTGGTGACCCGAGAGCGTGTATCCATGACGACAGGAGCAGCGGTAACTGCCCATGGTGTTGTTACAGTGGTGCTCACATCCGCCGTTCGCTCTGCTGCACTCATCCACATCTGCAGATCACAAGCACACACACGCGCCGTTAGCCAATCAGGAGCAGCTCGAGACTCGGGATTGGCTGGAGCGGCGCCGGTGGGCGGAGTCAGTGTTGGACGGCGGGCAGAAAGTCACTCACTTTCCTCTGAACGTGAATCATCAGAGACGTGAGACGTGACTGACACTCTGCGGGTTTGATGAGTCACGGCTCAATACAGGCTACACTCACACATCCACTGAGAAAACGCTAGACTCCCCAGCAGCGCATTGCTACACAGTTGCTAAGGTGTTCTGAATGGTTGTTAACATGTTGCTAAGGTGTTCCGACTGATTGCCAAGGCAGTGATTGCCAAATTTGTAGCTATGTGGCTGCTAGAGTGTTCTAACTTGTTGCTAAGCAGTTGCTAGGGTGTTCCGACTGATTGCCAAGGCAGTGATTGCCAAATTTGTTACTATTTGGTTGCTAGGGTGTTCTAACTTGTTGCTAAGCAGTTGCTAGGGTGTTCTGAGTGATTATTCTAACAACCATATAGCAACAGGTGTTGTTACATGGTTGCTAAGGTGTATTATTTGGTTAACACACTGCTAAGCAGTTGCTAGGGTGTTCCGACTGATTGCCAAGGCAATGATTGGCCAAATTTGCTGCTATGTGGTTGTTAGGGTGTTCTAACTTGTTGCTAAGCAGTTGCTAGGGTGTTCCGACTGCCAAGGTAGTGATTGCCAAATTTGCTGCTATGTGGTTGCTAGGGTGTTCTAGCTTGTTGCTAAGCAGTTGCTAGGGTGTTCCGACTGCCAAGGAAGTGATTGCCAAGTTTGCTGCTATGTGGTTGCTAGGCTGTTCTAGCTTGTTGCTAAGCAGTTGCTAGGGTGTTCTAGCTTGTTGCTAAGCAGTTGCTAGGGTGTTCTAGCTTGTTACTAAGCAGTTGCTAGGGTGTTCTGGGTGGTTATCTTAACAACCATATAGCAACAGGTGTTGCTACATGGTTGCTAAGGTGTATTATTTGGTTAACTGTTATACAGTTGCTAGGGTGTTCTGAGTGATTGCCAAGGTGTTGTTATGTGGGTTGCTAAAGTGTGCTAATTTGTTGCTATGTGCTTGCTAGGGTGTTCTAACTGGTTGTTAAGCAGTTACTAGGGTGTTCTGGGTGATTGCCAAGATGTTGCTATGTGGTTGCTAAGGTGTTCTAATATGCTGCTATGTTCAATTCAATTCAAGTTTATTTGTATAGCGCTTTTCACTATACAAATCGCTTTACAGAAAATTAAGTTTCTACAATATTTAGTGATTGCCAGGGTGTTGCTAGGGTGTTCTGGGTGATTATCCTAACAATGGGTGTTGTCATGTGATCTAAATGGTTGTTAACATAGTTGCTATGCAGTTGCTAGGGTGTTCAGAGTGATTGCCAAGGCACTGCTATGTGGTTGTTAAAGTGTTCTAACTGGTTGATAAGCAGTTGCTAGGGTGTTGTGGGTGGTTTTTAAGTAGTGATCGACCGATATTGATATTTTATAGCCGATACGATACCAATTATTTGCATGTTTATGTGCCCGATAACCGATATTCAGAACCGATATTTATTTACTGTTATAAAGTAA